TCCTACTTCTGTAGTGATACTGCCTCGGAAACCCAAGGAGGGGTCGCTATGAGTCGGGGCCGACTCGACGGCACATAACAACAACAACAACATTGGGGGCCCAGAGTATTGAAGGGAGAACAGGCTCAGCAAACCAATAGACAGAAAGGTAGCTCCAGAGGGCCAAGAAAAAAGCAGCTGCTGCACCACGTGCCACTCAAGAAAATCAAAACTCCCTGCTGTGGAGTTGAATCCAAGATGGTATCTCTAGGGAAGTAGATTACTCAGTCTTCCTTCCCAGGAGTGGCTGGTGAAACACACCAGCCTCCTGGTTAGCAGTCAGATGCCTTAGGCACTAGGCCATAAGAGCTCCCCACATACCAATGCTGGGTTTCAATCCTAACATCCCTTTGTCATTGAGTCACTTACTCAAGAGGCAAAGCCCTGCCCAGGAGCTTGCTGTCAATTGGCCAATTTCAGGTCACATGAATGAATTCAGGCTGCCAGGCATGGAGGATGATTTTCCCCTAACAGTATCTCCCCAAAAAAATGAGAAGGGGAGAACTGACACTGGTCAAGCAAAAATAACCTGATGCAAATAAGTTAAGCTACGCGTGAGAGCTAAATTCTTTTTTCATTTTAAAAATGAAAATAGCATAAACCTTGCTTGTCAGCTTCTTCTGAACTAGACACCAGCTGCTAAGCAGAGAGCTCCAGTTTGCTATGTTGTTGTTGTTGTTGTTATGTGCCGTCGAGTCGGCCCTGACTCATAGCGACCCCTCCTTGGGTTTCCGAGGCAGTATCATTACAGAAGTAGGATTGCCCAACCTTCCTTCCGAGGAGTGGCTGGTGGGTTTGAACTGCCAGCCTTCTGGTTAGCAGTCAAGTGCCTTAGACACTGTGCTACCAGAACTCCTCTGTTCAGTTTGCTACGTTCAGGTTTAAAACCCAGACCTCTTTAGCAGCATCCACTTTTCCACCTGAAGAGATTCCCCAGCATCTCATGAAGACTTGGTCTCAACCTTCCAATTCTTGCCTGGGCAGAGCCTTTCTTTGAACAGGAGAGGCATTCAACTAATAGTTGAGAATTAATGAATAAGTGAACAGCAGCCTGAATTGCAGAAAATAGAATCCCTCCTATTAATGATCTATTTTAAAACTATAGCCCCAGTCTATTAGATAACAGCTCCAAAATGAAATTATGTATTCAAACAATTATGCAGTAGCACAAGAGCATTCAATACCTTCATGGAAGAGTCTTTACCCTCACTAAGCAACAGTTTTCTTTAACTGCAAAATGAGATGATATCTACCCTCACTCACAGAATTATCAAGTTTAAATTAAATAATGGATGGGAAAATGTAAACTGCAAAGCTCTATACAGATGATACTGCGATTGCTTTCTTATTAAATTCATTGTCTAGAGAATTCACAATGTCCCTGGCTAATGAGAAGCAGAACTAAAGACCTAACTCAAGATAGACTATCCAATTAGGAAATTGATCTTTCTCAACTTCTATTCAGCAAACCTTTATACCCTGTCCTTATGCAACCCCAAGGCATTTATAATGGGTCTTTCAACAGAAAAGGGAGGGTAACTAGAAGAAAAAGCAATTCCCTTAGCTGTGAGTCTCAACCCAGACACCATGAACTCAGAGTATCACCAACATTGAGCATAGCAGTCCCCAAAGCAGGAACTGCAGTGTGATCTTTGCAGCACCAAGCTGAGTGTGAGAACTTAGGAAGCAGGAAACCACAGTCGCAGTAGCAGATGATGAGGTCCAAGAAGTCAGACAAGATGCCAGGGGCCTGAGGGAAGTGAGTTGACTCTTGGCCCTGGTCTGAGGTCTCTCAGTCTGGGCCTGATGGAAAGTTCCTGAGCCTCCCAAGCCTTAGCTGCTCTCCAAGTGAGGGGGAGGAGAAGTTAAGAGGAATTCTAAATACTCTCAGCATTTTGCAAGATTATAAAAGGGTAGAAGTTGGGGGGGGGCATTTTTGTTCCTCTCATAGTCACTGAGAAGAGTGATAAAATCCATCTGGACCACTTGAAGAGTAGGGACTAAGTCCTGTTCCTTGTCTCTTGGGAACTCAGTACCTAACCTTGTTCCTTGTAATTTAAGCATACCTAAAAAAGCCTTTTGGGAGTTGAAACTCACTCCAGCCCAGAGAAACAG